ATATACATATACATATATAATTGTTACCTGTGTAATAAGAAATATTAAATTATATTGTAAATAATGTTTGTTGTTTTTGTTTTTTACTGTCTTTGTAAAGCTGGAAGCCATATCAAATTAATTATGATTTGATTTAATTAATTAAAATAATAGATTGATCATCACTAATCAGGCATCATTGAGAACTGTAGAGTGATAGGTTAATGATTTTGCCATATCACAGAGTGGTTAGAATACGCTTAACCCAACAACTAGCCACTTCATACCCTGTAAATCAGTACAAGGTGGTTAATAAAGAAAAAAGAAGCATTAAATGAAAATTTTTGTCACATAATGACATACTATTGCATAGAAAAGATAATTAATTATCATACATCTGGCAACTTAAGCACCACAAACAATAGCAGCAACTTAGCAAATTTGAAATTATGTTATCCAAAATTATTGCTGGATTATTGTTGGAACCGCATTATTGATTGATGGATTAGCAATGGTTGACCTGTATCATAAAAAAATATCATAAACTTTATTTGATCTAAAGAAAATTTTTACCTGAATGAAAATGGTCCAACTTCTTCAACAATTGGTTTACTAATATTAGCTTCTACATCTTCAGGATTAGTAATATTAAACAAGTATATTTCCAAATAAATAGGTAATGATGGTTCTTTCCACTGTTCATACATCTCTGACTCTTCAGATAATATTAATCTCTAAAATAAAAATTTAAAAATTTTTCTTGAATTTAATATAACTGCAAAAAATTTTTGTTTTATATAAAAGAAATAAAGAATGTCTTTTTTCACAGTGGTGTGAAAAAACCAGTTTTTAATTTTTTTTTCAATCAAAGTTTTTTTTTATCAGAATTAGTGAATGAATAACCTCATCCATGTATGGTCAACATTAAAAAGTCATGACTTATCCAATTTTAAACCCCATAATCACATAACAAGACAGTTTATTGAAGAGATTGTATGGCTCTGAAATCAGAGGTATAGACACTGAAAAATTCCAATACTTAATGATTGGCCCAGTTGCAGTTTAGTGAATTCCTGCATTTTATTGTATGGATGGAAGTTAAGGTCTTTGTGTAAAATTCTTTTCACACTCTGATCAGACATTTCTTTAAGGGGAACATGCGTAACAGATGAATGTCATGGAAAATTAGTAACAGCCTGTCTTATTGCTTCAATATTCTATGGTGTTCAAATGTTATAAAGTCTACCAGTAAAAGCTGAACCTGTGTCTCTGAATTTTCTAATCCATAACAATGTGGTTTTCCTGTCAGGAACCTTTTCATTTCAATAGAGCCTGAAAATAATTGCTATGTTGCAATGACACAGCCACCATTTTTGAAAAAGGTCTCAATAACAAAAGGAAGAAATAATTAATTTTTCACACCAGATTATTATCAGATAAAAGTTTAAGAGCACTGTCTATCAACATTAATAAGGTTTTGATGTATTTTACTCATCAAAACCTTATTAATGCCAATACAGTGCTCTTAAACTTTTATCAGTAACAAATGCATGATTCTTCCCATTCCATGCCATGATGACAACTGAATGGTATGCTGCTCAAAGACAACTCCATTCTCATAACTTTTTTTTAGTATCTCAGCACATTGTTGACAGTCATGGTTGAAGAAACAAAATAGTAATCATTGCTATTTCTGATTGTATAGTAAAAGTTTCAATAGAATCTATGATGCCTTTCTCATTTACCTTTCAGAACTGGGAGATTATTCTGCCAGACCCTGTATAAAGTTAAAATTGTAAATATCACTATTTTGTAATCAAGAGTGATTTACTAAACACCACATAAAGAATGTAAGACTATCACATGTCAAAAATTTTGAAAAATAAACAAATTCATTAAAAGCATTTAAAATTTCTACTATATTTATTGTTTAAAAATAATTTAATTGTTAAATTACTAGGACAAGTTTTTACTGAGATGTTTTGATTTGAATAAAAATAGATTCTTTCCTTCCTTTCATAAGGATAGAATCAAAATTTAATGACGAAGTTATATTAAAATTATGTTATTAGACTATAATAAGTTTATAGTTATATAAATATTTGTTATATAGTTATTAGTTGGAGGCAGGAAATTCAGACGATAAGAAATTTGATTGCTACACACAAAGCACTAGTTCACGACTCAAAGAATGCTAAATTTTTTTCTATTCAGTTTGAAGTCCTTCATTCTCTTTCAAGTAAATATCTAGAAGAGATCTCAGAAAAGGAAATGTGATTAATTAAGATATGGTCATATAATTCTCTCTTTTCACACTAATGTCTATAAATAAATGGGATCATACTCTTTTATCCCTGCATCACCAAATTCCTATCACTGTTTGCCAGTTTTAGTTGTAAAATTAAAAATTATTTTATTTTTTACATAAATTGTTTTATATCTAGTGAATTATATGCCATTTGCTATTTAAAGAAGAATTGATTTACAGGATTAGTTTAATTAAATATTTTAAGATTTACAAAAAAGGCATTACTTTAGTGCTACAAAAATACAAGAGTCAAGTTTAATAGTGTAGAAAACAGTACAGTACAAATATAAAATAGCGAAGGAAAAGTTTAGTGAAAAATGACAAATTAATTTAATTTAATTAATTGTAAAATAGACTGAAATATAATAAAAATATTGATTAACTTATTCTTTAATAATAGAGAACTAATTGAAATGAGACTATTTTTATCATCAACTTATAAATAGATAATCATATTTAAACAAGTAATAACACATATTAATTAATATTAATATTAAACTATCAGCACTTGTGTACATGAGCTTAAATGAGTTATGTGATCAATAAATTAGTTTCTTTATTAACTTACTTTTTAACAGAATTAAATATAAATAAATGACATTCTAAACAATTTGTATTAACCTTTTGTTTAGAACTTGATGACTATTCAAAACAGTCAAAAACATTTGTTTGACTGTTTTGACAAAAATACATTCTGCTGATTGAAACATTTATTTATTTTACTTGATTAAATCTAGGTATGTCTGCAGTGTTGGGCACTTTTTTGTTTTTCAGTATAAAATAATATATTTTTGATCTTTCAATACTTTAGTACTCAGCTCATTGCTACTTGAACTTATACTATACAAGTTATGCCATTGGCCGAATATTAATATATCATAATAACAACGTTATGGACATTTCTACATATTCATATGAAATAATATTTCTAGATCATCAGATTATCAAAAACAATTCATTAATTGATGACATTAGATATATTGCTATCTAATCATTCTAATTTATAGGACATTAGATATGGTGTTCAGTTTATATAACAGACATGTCTGCTATATTAAATACATAGTGAAGTTTTTCTACTTGGATATTCAGATGACCAAGGAAGTGTCAAAACATAATGGAGACACTTCCTTAGAAAACCCTAGCTGGAAAATGGCTGATAAGCATTGCCATGAAAAGCAACATGAGGATACAGGACTTCTTGAATATATTGCTGTGCCATCAACATCCCTCACACTAGTATAAGGAGTGCCAATTGTCATGCAAGATGGCTCTTCAAACCAGAATACTGGCAATGGAAACTGTTTGTCACTTAAAAGTAATAGTGAGATTGAATCAAGGGCACCCATACATTGGGCACATGCTCCATGCTCCCTTTTTGTCTCAGTTGCCCTTTTCTAATCCCTAAGGTGGCCCCAAACAACAGAAAATTCTTGACTTCTTACCTATTCTACAAATATAAAAGAAACTAATGAATAATATTTGTCCATTGACCTATACAACTTCATTGTATGTTGACCAAAACCCATTCCTTATTTTTAATGCCAAGTTAGCCCCAGGTGCATGCAGCACCACCTTGTGGGAGCACTGATTGATGTTGAATCATGGAGTTTGAAGATCCTTGCATAATGTACAAGGCCCTTTTTTATAGCTTCTGCTGCCCATTTTTTCATAGTCTGGAGGCACCTCTGGATTGAATTGCTCACCAGAGATCCTCCTGGTAAGCAATTCAATCTCACTATTACTTTTGAGTGGCATACTAACATTATTGTCATCCATTACATTGGCATCACTACAAACAAAATTAGCAATGACAGGGTGATTAGTGGTTGCTGTGCATGCAAATTTGCTTCTGCTACTCTCCAGACAATGGTACAGGAAAAGCCAGAATTTTGTACCTGTTCTGGCTAATGGGTATAGGTGCCATTGCAACTGTTTGTGCTTGGTCCAACAATTAGCTCTCCTGTTGGACTATCTGAGACATCCAGGCTTGTCCACTGTATATGTCTGTCTATGCCACCAACACCTCCACAATCAAATCAGAACAGTCAAGATAATAAGCAATTTAAGAAAATGGACATCCTGCTTCCCTTGACCTAATGTGGCCATTCTCAAATTCCATCAGGTGGTGCATAATGTCATTGACTGCATCTTACAGACAATCTTGGCATTTAAACACCTTCAATCAACTGGTACGGTAAAAATTCTGAATGCAGTGATCAAGATTGGCGACAATTGGTCTAAGACATAGCTATATACTGTATTGCAATAATTGGACAATTCTATCTGTGTATGTGATTTTTGTCAATGAGTTCATCTTGAAATGCATTTGTTCTTTTAATAGTGTACTCCTTACTGTTTCAGTTTATTTACATAAATTCAATATCATACAGTATTTATAAAATTCATCATTGATGATGGACTAATACTATTACATATTTTATAGCTTAAATAAAATAACTTCAAACATGATAAAAACAAACCAGTGTTTTGCTTTTATCATGTTTAAAGTTATAATGACCCAATTATGAGGCACTGTGAGTGATTGGGTCCATATTGGGCCAATGTCCAATCACTTATACTGTCTCAAATATACATGAAGATATTCAACATTACATTATAACATCTTGAAATTAACAACTGTCCTCAGATTAGATGAGATAATTTCTAAATATATTTCTCTTATCTTGAATCTCAGATAAAGTCTGTACAGGACAGGTCTGCGTAGTCATGGAGTAAACAGTTTGAGTCAGAAGCAAATTCATTGTAGAGAACTCTGACTCATTTTTCTACTATGTCTTTATATTAAGCTTCTAATAGGAGCATTAACCTCCTATTTTGTATTATATGAGCCTCTTGTAATGCAAGATCTTATTTTATGATGACTCCCCTACTTCATGATCTTTCTTTAGATACCACTAATTACTTTTGATTTTCTTTTTAGAAATTTATATATGAATACATTTTATGTCTGCTCATTCTAAGTTTTGATTGTCAAAAGACTTATATAAAATGGCTAAGTAGATTCGGGTTAAATCTAATGTTTTAGAATACTTTACTAAACCATAAATGAAAAATGTTTTGTATGTAATGTGTAGTTGAAGATGAAAATGATAGTGGTAATGGTGAAAAGATATGTACTTTAAGTTTCAACAGGAATGCCTGATGATTCACCTGAAACACACTGAAAAAATGACTCTATGATTCACTTGGTAGTGATGAAGTACTGTTTAGAGTTAATGTAATCAAAGTATAATTTAAATTATTATTTAGAGACAGAAGTTGGAGATGGACTTTCTAAAATTCTACAAGTCGGGACTCAGTCTACAGACTCCACAGTCCTGGTTGAGGACATCAAAAATCTCAAGTTTTACAAACAAGATTTTAACTTTTATAAAAGACAGCTAAATAACCCAGACAGCAGAA